CTGGTTTTGGGACCGATGTGGCGCAATCCTTTTAGCCTACAGCTACTGTTCTTTGATTTCAATCCGAACAGATCCAAGGAAGCCACATTAAAACGGGACGATTATCGGGGACTGGGGAAAAAGAAACTTGCCACGACGTCCCCGGGCCAGACAATCCAATTGTTTATCCTCTGTGTTTTGCTATCGGTAGCAAAAAAAAAAAATCCTCGAGGTCGATGTTTACACCGGAGAAAGCTGCACGGGCATCTGTTTTGCAATGTGTCTGTGGCATCGCAAAGGGCAATTGTCAAACACAATAGGTGACAATTGAACCGATCTCCCGCCAAGTTAGGAATCGGATCAGCTCCAAGACAGTGAAGAGTTGCTGCTGCTTTAAATCTGCATCGTTTCTCAGTGGAAACCAGTTCCCAAAGAGCTGGGCCTGTCGGTCCTTTACAGGTGTGCATGTCCCAGATGAAAGGGTGGAACTTCAGTTGCGAGTTTCATTATTTTGGCATTATGATTAATGACAGGGGCTTAGATTCTGCGGGTGCGACTGGCTGAATGAATGTTACAGCAATGTCTAGAACAATGATTCTCAACCATGGCAACGTTAAGACGTGTGGATGTCTGGGAGTTGAGGTCCACACGTCTTAACGTGCCAAAGTTGATAAACACTGGCTTAATACAACAGGTGGGACAAGAACATTTTCATAACCGTGCCTTAAAATTCCAAACCATGGTTTGGAGCAACTGTGCAACTTGTAAAGGGAAATGGGCCACTTTGGGAAAATTGAAAATTGAGGCTTGAAGGAGCTGGCCTGTGGCAGAACGCCTTTGGGGATGGGAGCAGCCATAAACTGATTAGACTGAATTTGGGACACCCCACCCCAAGGCTGCTTGGCGTTGAGGGCAATCCTGGCTATCATCTAAAATATATGAGGCAGCAATAGAGAGGAGAGGGTCAGCCTGTTCTCCAAAGCCCCTGAAGACCAGGCAAGACCAAGCTTGGGCCGAGGTGGCACAATGGTTAGAGTGCAGCACTGCAGGCTACTTCAGCTGACTGCAGTTCAGCAGTTCGGCTGTTCAAATCTCACGGGCTCAGGGTTGACTCAGCCTTCCATCTTTCCGAGGTGGGTAAAATGAGGACCCGGATTGTTGTTGGGGGCAATATGCTGACTCTGTAACCCGCTTAGAGAGGGCTGAAAGCCCTATGAAGCGGTATATAAGTCTAACTGCTAAGAAGCAACGGATGGAAACTCACCAAGGAGAGAAGCAACCTAGAACCAAGGAGGAATCTCCTGACAGTGGAACAACTTGCCTCCAGAAGTTGTGGTTGCTCCAACA